TAATTGCTAGAGATGTTGAACATAYCTTTGTTGATTGAATATTTGTTGTTGTATTTACTAAAAGAATATTTATTTTGGAATTTATAATAGTTAAATGAAACATCCAACAACAGGGTTCCCCATTCTGTCCACTATGGAACATTCATAAGGAATGTAGCTATCATGCATCCTGTTTCCAATCCGTAATTCTCATTTTGTATCAACTCATCACATATGGAAACCCAATATATGAAATAAGGTAAGGAAAATATAGTGTTCAAAAGGAATGGAAGCTCAGAGGGTCTCATRGACAGCTGTCTGGAGTGGTCCTTGACGGGATGTTGTGGTACAAGGTTTAAAATTTAAAGCTTCTTCAAATTTGGTTAATGAATTAGGAAAATACAATGCAGTAAGTGAAGAGAATGTAGTTAGCAAGAGAATATGTACCATGTCTCCCCAGCAAGAGAATATGTTCAGCTAAATATATATCTGAATGTACTCACAGCTGAAGTCTGGAGAATCACACATGCATCAAAGTGTAGTCGTTGGTTCTTCCTTATATGAAGACTGGTGTTTTTACTTTTTCCACATTTCCTACAATAAACAAGAATTAGTTTTGTAAGTAGACTGTAAAATCCAAATTCCAGAATATTAATTTTAAGAAGATAGTAAGCCAAAAAGTATAACCAAAGCACACTGCATATTGTTACACACACACATTCTCTCTCTCACACTCATGTATGTGCAGTGTCGAGGAAGGAGACATCCTGTGACTGTTGTGCTGTGGCCCTTGCTGGAAGAGTCTTGAGTGGCTGCAGGCTGGGGCATTGGCCCTGGTGTTTTGCTGTTAGGTGGGCCTAGGATGTGCACTTGAGAGACAACTGTGAGGTGTGAATTCTGGCTCTGCGACTGTTTGTTGTTTATCTTGGGCAAAATCAGTGTMTGCATTTTCCTCATCTGAGATGGAGCCTTTGGAGTTGTGGGTATCAGCCAACTTAAGACATGCCTCACGTGCCACATGGGGAGTGACAGGTGTTTGCTGCTTTGGTAGTTATTGGTCCTGTGTCTGTTGTCTTTAGAATTATTTTCTCTCCAGATTCTGCTCCCTCTCTTAACCTCAGAGGTTCCTGGAAATTCTGGAACTTTAGAAGGAAAGTCATAGTTCTTATTCAGATTCATTTTCCCAAATAGGGCACCAGTCAACAGGGTACATGTTTTTTCTTCTTAGTAAAATTTAATGGCAATCATTCCTTGTTTTGTGAGGATTTGTCTGTTTCTATGATTTCTGGCCAGAAATTGYCCATATCAGTGCTTCACTCCAGGGATCTATAGGACTAGCCCATGTGTCCTCCTGGCTGTAATTTATTACAGCAGAATCAGTAAAGGGAGAAGACACAGGGGGCAAGGTCTAGAAGAACCAAGGGGTGACCAGTCCTTAGCACTAAGTGTGGCACACATGTGAGGTGTCCACCGAGGCAGCTGGTTAGGATCTTAGTGCTGGGGTTTATCCTGTGGACTGTGGATGTGTATACCCTCTGCCTAATGAGTGCCAGGAGTCCAGACTCCAGAAGGAAAGCAGGTGTTCAGCCTGAAACACATTGTCTGCAAAATTTAATTACATTAAACTCTTATTAATWGAAAATGGTGGGAACCATCTAAAAACCTAAATTCATAAATGCCAGCCAAAGGAAAATCTTGCAAATAGGTGTTTCTAAGGCTGGACTCTCAGGCCTATAGTGGTAACTAGTTTCTGTTCCCACCTCCCTCAAACCCCTCTCCTCTTCCCCCGTCAGCCACGAATCTCTTTTCTGTCTCTGTGGAACAATACTTGAATATGTTTTCATCTTTTTTTCATCTGTGATTTTAATGGCTTTGTAAGATGATAGCTTGAAAATCATTCTCAGGTATTTCCCTTCCAGTATGTGAGTAAAACTTTAGAAATTGAGTCTGTCTGGTTGCTGCTAAACCCACAGCAGTTGTCAACAATAATCATCATCAGTATTGATGTCATGAGTTGGGGGCATTTAATGAAATAATCCATGAGAAAGCCTCTCATTTTTACAGGTTTTTACCTCACTTTTTTGAAAGTATGCTGTGCATCAATTGAGGCCAGTGAGGGTTTGACATTCACTTGGCCAGCATGTAGCCCTTTCACCTTATCTTTTTGCTGTAGGATAGAAAGGGACCCAGGTGGGGACCTGGGTGTRATTGGGCGGGGTGGGGGGAGGGGGAGAATGTAGCTGCACTGTTGCCATTTGGATTTGTGGGGCAGAGTGTTAGGAGGGAAAGAACAGAGGCTGTTACGGTTGGGTACCCCTGATCCAAAGTGCTGGAACCCAGAGGTGTTTCAGACTTAGGAGTTTTTGGATTTTAGAGTATTTGCATCGACTTTACCAGTTGAAAATCAGAAATTGGAAATGCTCCAAAATCTGAAACACTCTGAGCATGTTGCTGTTCAAAGTTTCCAGTTTTGAAGATATTGGATATTGGATTTGAGATATTCAATATATACTTTATAATAAGCAGATTTTTTTTTGTATTCTTTAATGTGGTTACAACATACAGGAGTAAATAAAAAGTAAATTTGCCTTGAGCCGAGACTAAAATTCCTAAAAATTGTAGAACATTTAAAATTTCATCAGTTGTTTTCTAAAAAAAGTTTAATCTAGTTTATTTATTTATTTCTCTGTGGTACTGGGGATCAGTCACACATTATAGGCAAATGCTCTACCACTGAGCTGCATCCCCAGCCCCCCAAATTAAAAAAATAAAGACAAATGTTCTCTGTTTTTTCCCTCTCTTTACACATTTTTAAATTGGTGCATTATAATTGTACATAGTGACGGAATTTGTTATTACAAATATATTTTATACATGCATAAAATATAATTTGGCCAGTATCACTCCCCCCACTCCCCTTCCCTTACTGATCTCCCTTTGATTTTCATGAGATCTGCCCCATCTTTCTTTTCCTTTTTCCTCTCTAGATTCCACATATGAGAGAAAACATAGCATACTTGACCTTCTGAGTTTGGCTTATTTTTCTTAACATATTGGTTTTAAGTTCCATCTATTTYCCTGCTAATGACATAATTTTATTTTTCTTTATGGTTGAATAAGACTTCATTGTGTATATATACCACCTTTTCTTGATCCATTCATCCATTGATGGACACCTAGGCTGGTTCCATAGTTTGGCTGTTGTCAATTGTGCTGCTATAAATGAGGGTATACATGTCTCTGTAGTGTGATGACTTTAATTCATTAAGATAAAAATTGAGAAGTGCTATGGCTGGGTCATATGGGGGTTCCATGCCTAATCTTTTGAGGAAACTCCATGCTGATTTACATAGTGGTTGTACTAATTTATAATCCTACCAAGAGTATAAAGCTCGTCCTTTTCCTCTACATCCTTTCCAGCATTTATTATTGTTTGTATATCTGATGACTGCCATTCTGACTGTTGACCATTTGTATTTCTTCTTTTGAGAAGTGCCTACTTAATTCATCTGCCCATTTATTAATTGGGGTTTTTGGTGATAAGATTTTTTTAGTTCTTTGTATATTTTAGATATTAATTTTCTGTCAGAAGAGTGGGTAGTGAAGATTTTCTCCCATTCTGTGGGTTCTGTCTTCATATTTCTAATAATTTCTTTTGCTGTGCAGAAGCTTTTTAATTTGATGCCATCCTCCTTATTAATTCTTAGTATTATTTCCTGAGCTTTGTGGGGCCTATTGAGAAAGTCATTGCATGTGCCTATATATCGGAGTGTTGCTCATACATTTACTTCTAGGAGTTGCATAATTTCTGGTCTGATTCCGATGTCTTTGATCCATTTTGAGTTGATTTTTGTGCAGGGTAAGAGATAAGGATTAAGTCTCATTCTTCTACATATGGATAACCAGTTGTCCCAGCACCATTTGTTAAAAGGTCTTATCTTTTCTCCATTGTATGTTTTGGGCACTTTGTCAAGGATCAGATTATTGCATCTGTGTGGTTTTGTCTCTGTGTCTTTCTATTCTGTGCCATTGGTCTGTTTTTACTGTTTTTATGCCAGTACCATGCAGTTTTGTTACTAATGCTTTGCAGTATAATTTAAAGGCAGGAATTGTGGTATCTCTAGCATTCTTTTTTGACTTAGAATTGCTTTGGCTTTTCTGGGTCTTTTATTCTTCCAAGTGAATTTTAGGACTGTTTTTTTCTAGTACTGTGAAGAATGTCTTCGGTACTTTGATGGATGTTGCATTGAATCTCTATATTGTTTTTGGTAGCATGGCCATTTTAATAATATTAATTCTGCCTATCCATGAACATGGGGTGGGGGTAGGGTTTCCTTCTTTTGTGTCTTCAGTTTCTTTTTTCAGTGTTCTATAGTTATCATTGTAATGGTCTTTCACCTCCTTGGTTAGATTTATTCCTAGTTTTTTCTTTCTTTCTTTCAAGGCTATTGTTAGTGGAATAGTTTTCCTGATTTCTTCCTTAGCAGATTCATTGTTGGTATGTAGGAAAGCTTTTTGTATGTTGATTTCCTAACCTGCTACTTCACCAAATTTGTTTATTAGCATTAKCAGTCTTTTGGTGGATTGCTTTTGCATCTTCTAAGTATAGGATCATATTTTCTGCAAGCAGTGATAATTTTGACTTCTTTCTTTCCTATTTTTTACACTTTTATTTTATTCTCTTGCCTGATTGCACTGGCTAGAATTTTTCTTATGTGTGTTTTAAACCATAATTTGGATTGAAATTTAGTTTTTCTTAAAATTGGGTTAGTAGACCCKGCACTGTGGGAGGAAGTTTGCTTTGTGTATGACACACCGTGAGTCATGCAGGTGCTGGTTATGCTTATGGATAAGCTTATGATATGGATTCTTATGCTTCTGGAATGTGTTTTCATTTTAATGTCAGCTAACACGTTTGTAACTAGAGTGGATATTTTTGAACATTAGGAATTCAGTGGCATATGACTGTTCTCATGGAACAGGCACCAACTCTGATGGTTGTTTGTGTCCTTGTCTTCCAGGTGATTTGACACGATGCTGCTCTCCATAGGGATGCTCATGCTGTCGGCTACACAAGTCTACACCCTCTTGACCGTCCAGCTCTTTGCCTTCTTAAACCTGCTGCCTGTAGAGGCGGACATTTTAGCTGTAAGTACAGGAAAATTTATTCATGTCTGAGCATTCCTTAAAGAAAGGCTTTATGAAAGTTTTGAATGACAGAATATTATGAAGATATGTACCTACAGACTTGCCCAAAGGACAGGTACTTGAAAATGGGGCATGTCTTCATTTTGTATTGTTTAACACCTGATGTGAGACCTCATGCACATCACCTGATAGGTGCTACCGCTCCTGATGTGTGTGTGTGGTAGGTGCCTGTGCATACCTGCCTGCGTGCTTGTGTATTCAGGTAGAATCTTGCTGTTTTTCTTGGTACCTAGCATATTTAATGACTGTGAGGTGTCAATAGCATCTGTAGCGATAATGATATTTTAAGAAATACTACAAGACACAGAAAATTTCAATTTAAGGTTAGCCTTAACGAGTCAGAAGAGCAGCAGAGGGCTCCTTTCTTTGATGGTGAATGGAGAAGTGTTTAGAGAAAAAGAGTGATTGCTCTCTAGACCTTGGTCGTTCTCTCAGCCACGTCTTACTCTCTTCTGTATGGGAAGTACTTGTATTTCCTATTTCTCATTTTGTGAAGGTAGGGAAAGRAGAATTAACTCTGTGGGGTTGGGGGTGGTGGGTAGATGGTCCTATACACCAGGTCTTTGCTAAGGATTTATTGTTTTTACTTTCTTGATACTGTAATGATACTGGATAAGGGATAGAAGGACCAGAATTGTTGCTGACTAAAGCTTGGTGTGGTCCTCAGCTGTGCTTCTGCATATAAAAAGCACTTCCGGAAAATTCCAGGATCTTTGTAGAACTTGGGTGAGCCAGGCTGGTTTTCGAAGGCAGAGCAGCTTTAGTGTGGACCATGTGAGATCCTCAGTCCCTGTCACTTTCTTTACCAGAGAACTGGTGGATTAGTTTTTTTTCCTTCTGCTGGTGTAGTCTGGAGTAGGTGGAGTAGAGGTGGAGTGTAGGTGGCTTGTGTAGGTCGAGTAGAAATAGAATCTTTAAGGACTGAGTCCATTGTTATTCAAATCTCTCCTCTAAACTGGTCCCCAAAGGCCTTGGAATATTGTTGGAATGCTTTTTGAAATGAGTTAGGGGATTTATGGACTGATCAGGGAATGGAGTTTTTCTTGTCTCCCTTCTCATCTTTGAGGTCTTCCTTTTTGTCCGTCTGTTGCGTTTGGTGCCYGTCACTCCTTCCTTTCTTTCTTTGTGTCTGAGATGGGTTCTTATCTTGTGCTCCAGCTCTCTGGTAGTTAAATGATTTTTAGTGGACTGCTCCATGACTCCAACCAGCTGTGTGACTTTGATCGAATTACTTTGCCAATGTAGATGCCTCCATTTTCTTTTTAAAAAACTGGAGTGTTAATGATAATTAAATGCGTTAACTACTAGAGTGGTATCCACACCTGGTAAATGTCTTGTATGTCATTTATTATCTTCATTGTAATTATTCTGATTGTCCTTCACTCTCATCCTCAAGAAGGTATGAGACTACTGGAGCTGTGGGTATTCATATAGAGACAGAAAAAAAAGGCACAGTACAGAGGGGCATCAGTCCTCCTTGCTGGCTTGTTTCCCGTGCCTCAGGCATGCAGGCGTGGGATATGCTATGTGATGTCATCCAGCAGGGGCACCTCGAGCATCTGTCTCTGCTGGCACTGAGGGGCATGCTGCAGAGATCACTGGAAAGAGAGCTGGCTAGAATAGCAGGCACTGAGAGGCAAGGCGAGGAGTGAGGTAGGAGGTAGAGATGCTAGGTCTTCCTTTCAGCTGAGYCTGAGCATCCCTGAAGTCTTAGTTGACCAGTACCTAGCTGAGTAGTTGAACTGCATGTTGATTCTAGTTCCATCTGGACCAGAACTGGGTGCTGCTTTTGTAGAGGTGTCAGTTGATTTGTKCTGTTTGTCTGCCCAGTTCCTTGATTTTCCTTTTCTTTTTGTCCATTGAAGTTTCCCTCTTGGCTGTCAACATGCTTGTGAACTAGTTGAAAGTTCTGAGGGGCAATGGAAATGCCTCTCTGGTGCTTTGCTGACTATTGCATAAGCCCCGAGATCTGAGTACCTGGGAGGCAGACTGTGGCTCACTAAGTAAGCTCTGTGCTCCTGGTGCCTGCTCATTACACAAGAGGGCTTGAGTAAATGTCTGAACTGATTAAGAGCCTTGGGGATTTACTGCTATTGTATTTTCTTTTAATAGCATTTGCTCCTTGCTTCTTTTAGATGACTGTTTTGTCTCTAATCTCATTGTTTCTCTTTCCTTTGACCCCTGAAGAAATGTGATGTTATTGATTATGTGAATTTCCATATAGGAAAATGGAAGTTTAGACTTGGCAGAGCTAGCCGAGTCTAGCGATGACCAGATCGACACCAAATATCTTGAGGCCCAGAGGCCACAAGTGGCTTGTTACCTTTGAGTTTCGTCCATGTTCTTACTGAGAAGTTGTATCCATCGCATTTTACTCTTTGTTTCATGGAGTCCAACTACTGGATTTTGGTCCACCCCAGTYTGCCTTGTGGTTCCATTTGTCAGAGGGTTGGCTCCTTGATGGTTGTGAGGTCAGTATGCTGAACAGCAGAGTGCACCCAGTGGGTGGTAACAAGATCACATTGTTTTAAAGAAGTGTTCTTACCGGGAACAAGGCTAGTAAAACAAAAGGTGCTTTACTTTTAGTACTGGGGAAGGAGAGAGATGCTGGTGAAATAATAATGCTTTCAGAAGACAGCAGGAGTGATGTCATTGTGAGATGAGTCTGCTTCCTCCTTCAGTGATGTTCACTCTACAGTAAATACTGAGAATAGCAGAAATAAGGAAGAGGAAACTAAATATGCAGAGTGAATAAGCAACTTTTGAAACAAAGTTTCAAAACAAAATTTCTTGAAATAAAGCAAGAGTGTTTCATAACTCTGACCATAACAGAAGGATGGGAGGACCAAGCAAACCTTTACTATGAGTATTTCATCTCACAATTGTATCATTACTATGGTCTTCTAAAAGAACAGTTTTGTTTGTTAGTGGATGATCGATAAATATTGCGTTTACCGATAATATTTATTATATTGGTATATATTGTACAGTACTGAATATCTGTATGGAAGGGGCAAGTTTTGAAGAAGCCTGAGTACTTTCAGCTTTTCAGTGTGTACATTTCATTGCGTTCCATCCTTCCACTGTTCCACTCATTGGATAAAAATGTTCAGTTTACATCAAAATCAACAAGTCCTTAAAAGTATAATTTCCCCTTCTTTCACTGGGGAAGAGTCATCTTTCATAGATAGAGTCTTTTGTTCAATCAGACCCTTATAACAGAAAAATAAAATGGAGCTCTCTTGCTGAAAAGTGTTCTGTCTAGAAAATTCCTTGCTAGGGAATTATCAATGAGAAAAGCTCAGAAAACTGTAGCTTGTTTAATGTGACAGGGTCATTGTTGCTGTTTGATAATAATGTATGAAGTCAGAATCAGATTTTAACAGTCGTATTTAAGTTGTATATATTCTTTGCTGTTTTAGTAGATGCACATTGTCACATTTGATTTTATTGTGATAAGCAGCAATAATGAGAATTGTGGAARTTACACTTTATCATAAACTTTTTAATGTTACGTATAAATTGGCTTTAACCTCATTATTTTTAATTTTAATTTTATATTTAGTATAATTTGGAAAATGCATCTCAGACATTTGATGATCTTCCAGCAAGATTTGGTTATAGACTTCCAGCTGAAGGCTTAAAGGTAAGAAAACAGTAATGTCATAAAGGCACAAGGTATCTAATAAGGATATTTCTGTTGTTCTTTCATTAAAGAATCAAAACGTCATAAAAACCGTGAGTGGTTGTTTGTAAAGAGAAAAAGCTGTTCACAAGGTATGCGAGAGGCCTGGCATTCAGTCCCAGTGCACACACATCAAGAAAGGCATGAGGAAGAAAGTGAAGCTCTCCTGTGGTTGTAGTAGTCAGCACTACCACTGTTACCATTTAGTATATAATATCTCAGATCTGTTTTCTAGGATATTTTCTGTGTATATGTATATGTAGATGTATGTGTGTGTTCATGTATTTACATCAATGCTTGCACAATATTATCCAACACCACTAGAAWCTTGCTACTTTATAACCTGCTTTCTTCCCTTAATTTGTATGCCGAGGTCATTTTTTTTTTATTCTGACAAGTAAAGGTATTCCATTATATTATTTATTATTATTATTATTAATGGCTTAATGGTTTTATCATTAAATACAGTGGATTTGAACTTTGTTTAATTTTTCATAGTAGATATTTGGGTTATTCATTTGTTACTGACAACGAATGTTTTCATCCTTGTGTATTCATTCACTAATTTCTATAGTGTACATTTTAAAATATAGAATTGCTTCATTTATGGCATGCATGTCTAAAAATTTTTTTTGTTGTTTTTAGTTGTAGTTGGACACAATACTTTTATTTTATTTATTTATTTTTATGTGGAGCTGAGGATCAAACCCAGTGCCTTGCTGGGCATATTGGCTTCTAGCTTTTTTTTTTTTTTTTTTTAAGATTTTAAATTAAGAAGAGATACCTGACATTATATAATGATATCTTATTGTAAAAAAAAGTATACAAAAGAAATGGAAGAGCCTTCTGTTATGCTTTCCACCTGTGTACACCAGTTGCATTTCCCTGTTGGCAGTAGATTTTATCAGTGACTTATGGACCTTCAGATCTCTCTGAATATGTGATGCTTTTCAGGTATTTTTTGTTCATAATTTTTTGAACATATAAAGATAAAAAAATGGTTATCCTTTGTGTATATAAAAGCTTTCTTAATTCTTGTAATATAATCCATTTTAGCTAGTTTTATCCAGAAAATGATTTATAAAGGGTAATGATGTTTAGAGAATCACAGCCTGGAAAACAGTTTCCAGACAGTTTCAGGAATACTCTGACAACCACCTTGTAGAACTGGCTTCACAAAGGATCCTGTAGCCACTGGACTATCCTACCACCTTTTCTCTCATCAGAAAACTTCTTCAATTTTATCCCCAAACATTATGCCTCTGCTGTCATTAAGCTAACCAAAAAAAAAATAACCTTTGCCTGACTGTTTTCTCACATGATCACTTCCAAATGTAATACCTGGATTTTTCTAATTGACAAACTCTAGGCCATGTAATTACTAGCCACATACTTTGGAGAAATACCTACCTTTGGGGAAGGCTGAGAAATATGGTATTCTTTTTTGGTTTGTTTATGTTTGTTTATACTACTTAGGGAAGGTGAGAATCAGGGTGTCAGGAGAGGGGTTCAGAATATTTGGGGAACCATTAATGACAGATATTTATTATAATAGCTATTCTGCAATCCTGCCTGTGTCCTAAGCAGGTGATGGGAATGAGGTTTCCCCTGGTGGAATGGGCTGGCTGTGAAATAAAAGCTAAGAAAAATAGGTGGAGAAAGAATCCACAGGACACAGAAAATAATTTCAAAAAGCGGGGGCAAGGACGGGCAAGCTAATCATATGGGATTGAGCTTATATACTAAAAAGACAAAATGGAGCCTGAGCTTACTTTATTTCTATTGGGGAACATCAAAGGCCTTCCTTAGAATGTTCTTCACCAAAAAAGGTCGAAGGTCAACTGTCCAGTTCCCAATGGGTTATGCTCATCTCCGGAGTTAATTTGAGGGATCTTCCTAGTAGAGTGGAGGTAAAGGTCATGAGCCTTGGGCAATATATGGCATGGGAGAGCCACAGATAGTTCCCAAGGTTAAACCTAAAATCTTCCTGGCTGCCATACTGAGAGAAGACACTCAAGTAATTTATGGCCGGCTTCAYTGCACTGCAATTTAATCCTTGTACCTCTTAGCTTATCAAGCAGCACCTGTAAATCTGGCAAGTTCCTGTTAAGCACTGTATGGTATTCTATCTTATGAATGATTGTGGTTTATTAGTCGTTTCCTATTAACAGATACATTGGTTCCTTGTCTGAAGTCCAGTTATTTCTGTAGAATAGAGGTCTGAAAGAAGAATGGGCACATACATTTAAAGTTTTCATAGATACTATCAAACTACTTTTCTAAAGGCTGTTCTGATTCTTTTCAATTAACAGTGTCTGAGAACATCCATCTCTGTACTCTTGCCATCACTGATAATTATCGGTGTCTTGACTTTTGCCAATCTGATGGGCAAAAAGTATAAACTTGTCTCAATTTGCATTTCTCTGATTACTAACGATGTGAGCTGGCAGCCTTTATTTCGGACTGTCCTTCTCACTGAAAAGCCTTTTTGCTTAGTGAATTTGTTTTAAAAGAGTTTCATTAATTCTTGATAACCATAGTCTTCTTGGTGCTCCTCTATTTCTGTGTTACTGTCAAGTCAGTTTACATTTCAGAAATAGTTTGAAATGTAAACAAATAATTTTGTTTATTTATTGCCTAAGAAAAAAGAACATTAAGTATCTGATTTTTTGCACTGTGACAATGTAGGGTAAACCCAGAAGTGAAATATGGGAACAGTAAAGAGATGATGTTCAAATAAATCATTGAATTCTTTTTTAAAAAATATTTATTTTTTTTGTTGGACACAATATCTTTATTTAATTTTTTATTTTTATATGGCCTTCCACATGCCAGGCGAGCACTCTACTTCTGAGCCTTAACTCCAGCCCAAATCATTGAATTCTTATGGAAAGCATCTGTGGTTGCACGATTGGCTTTGCCATTGCTCAGAATCAGGATGAAAAACACCAACCTACTCATTGTTTACAAGGAGCACTTGATGATACCAAAGTGGGGTGGCTCACTATGGCATAATGTCTGTAAAACCAATAAGTTAAAAACATAACCAAGTTAATTTAAAAATGCATTGAGGTTATTAAGAGACAGGTGAGTCCCCAGGACACGTGGGTAGGGTGCTGAGCACTGGGACCAAGGGCTAAAGCAGAGAGACTAAAAAAATGCAGACCACCAGGGCACTGCTCATTTCTCTGGCTCTGATGCGCTTTAGTACCAGGGGTATGATCAGGCCTGTGTCTGCATCCTTCCTGAGTAGACTAGAGAACCCATCTAAACAGCCTTCCTGCAGCAGCAGCTCCCCACTCCAGGTGGCCAGACGGGAGTTCCAGACCAGTGTTGTCTCCCGGGACATTGACACAGCAGCCAAGTTCATTGGTGCCGGGGCTGCCACAGTTGGTGTAGCCGGATCAGGGGCTGGCATTGGAACTGTGTTTGGCAGCTTGATCATTGGCTATGCCAGGAACCCGTCTCTCAAGCAACAGCTCTTCTCCTATGCCTTTTAAGGCCATTGGCTCTTCTGTTTGATGGTCACCTTCCTCATCCTCTTTGCTGTGTGAGGCTCTGTGGGATCACCCACAGGTCCCTGCTGCTTCAACTCCACTGGTGCTGGAGTGCGCTGACCTGTACCATTAAACCACATTTCTCTAAAAAAAAAAAAAAAAAAAAAAAAGAGAGAGAGAGAGAGAGAGAGAGAGACCTTTTAAACTTTTCCCAGAGAGTTTAGATGGGGTAATTACTGTTGGTCTTAGTATTCCATGTTCTGTAGGTCTTTATGTCACTGGATTCCATCAGAATAATCTAGAAGACATAAGCATTGGTCATAATAGCTCATATCAATTGATTTCTGTGTTTGCAATTCATTCGTACATGTTCCAACATTAAGCTAATAATATTCAGAGACCCTTTCTGTCTTCCCCCATATTTTCTCTTTTTTTCTACCCTGTATTTTTTTTAAAAAATGATGCAAGAGAATCAGAAAGCCAAGGACATTTTTAGCTAATTTGAGCTTCAATGCAAAWATGTGAATCTTTTCATGGATTAAGATATGGCATGCCAGTGTTATAGACCTTTAGTTTAAAAAAATATTTTATATTTTTAGTTAGAAAAGGGCTGTTTTCAGTTTTATATTTTAGTTTCTTATATAAAAATATCTTTTCTAGATAACTTTTTATTAGACTTTGCAACTTATGTCATTAATGAAATCAATCAGTTTATAATTTATTTGGACAGCTTATTCTGAGCTATAAAATAGTTATTTTTGGAAAATACTAGTTCTTTTTCTTGGTAAAATAATATTTTAAATATATTAAATAGTGTCACTAGTATAAGTATAAAATTTTAATTTCCCCCTAACTACCCTCAATTCTTATTAGTTCTCTCTCTAGTAGTCAGATTAGTAAAAAGGTGGTTATTAGTTTTATTCTTACCCTTTACCTTCTAGATTTTTAGAATTCTATTTTTTAGTAGGCTAGGTTAGAATTTTTAAAAAGCAAGTGAATCGGATTCTTAACTAGTTTATAATATTACTGGTCTATTTGGTTAAGGCCCATATGAGGACGTGACTGCTACTCTTTAAAAAAATTGTCAGAAAACTGTGTTTTCTATTTCCAGGCTGAAGTGCTTTAATCCATGTGAATATAAAGGAGCTGCAGAGAGGCAGCAGGTTTTGGTATATGGATAAAAATAAGTCTCTGGGAGAATCTTACATTTTTGAGAATTCTGTTTTGGAGGCTCGTACTTTCTTGTATTAGAGCCGTGTTTGAAAACCCTTCATCTTCATTCTCTTCTCCAATTCCTTTTGCCAGGGACTTGACATCTTACAAATCACAGCAGGTGTACATAGAACTGTGTCAGCATCCTATGCAGACACTCCTAGGTGCTGTTCCAGCTCCCCCTCTCATTGGGCCAAATTAGTCTGGCCCAGGGCTTCTACCAGCCTCCGAAACCCTTTGGGCCTGTGTGAAGCCTTTCACAGTGTAGGAACAAACTGCTCCTGAGCTGGTGTTTCTGAAGACAGTAGCTCTCTTTCAGAACAGCAGCTGGGACTGTGGAGCATTTCTATTTCTGTGATTTTTTTTTTTTTTTTTGCTGCCACCTGTGGTTGTGCCTCAGATCAAAAGGGCATCAGTATTTTCCCCAAAGTCTCAGAAATGAGAAGAGAGCTGACGAAGAGAAATTGTATGGTGTGGTCCCCTTTTTGAGTGAGACCCTCACAGGGAGCTCATCGCCAAGAGTCCACATCAAACATTCTAGGAGGTCTTGGAGTTTGGAGTTGTGGCTTCCCCCTTCCTTCCTTCACTGAAGGAAACTGAATTCAAGTATTGCTGTTTTGCTATGTCCTTGCCAAGACTTGGTGTTGTCAGAAGTGACTTTTTCCTAACATGGTGGATGTGAGATGGCAGCTTGTTCTGACTTGGTATTTCCAGGATTACCAGTGAGATGAAGCATCTTTCTATAGGATTATTGATCAAGCAGTTTCTTCTTGTTCAAATTCTTCTTTTTAACTTACTTTTGGATTGGCTTGTCAGTTGTTAAAATACTGATTTATAGAAATCCAGACTAGAGCCCTTCGGTCCTTTGGCTGTGAGTTTCAGGAGTTTTCCACTCTGTGCTTAGATTGCCTTTTGTTATGCCCAAACTGGAATTTTGATGCAGACACCTTTTTGATAGTCTTCATTTTCTGTGTTTTTAATAATCCTTCTCCACTCTGAGGTCTTAAAGTATTTTCTCTGTTTCCTTGAAAAATCAAGAAGAAAAATTTCCTTGCTCTCACCCTATTCCATGCTCACGAGATCTCTAAACACAGCTGCTGCTTTTTTTTTTTTTTTTTTTTGAGTTAGTCCTATACTGTTTTGCGTGGGGGCTACACCATTTAACCTTCCTACCAACAATATTCATGGGTTYCTATTTCTTTATATCCTTGCTAACATTTGTTATTTTTCTCTGTTTTTTAATGCATCCATCTTAATGGGTATAGAGTGGTATCTCATCGTGGTTTTGATTTGTATTTCCCAGAGATTAGTGATGTTGAGTACCTTTTCATGTGCTTTTTGGCCATTTGTATGTCTTTGGAGAAATATCTGTTCAAGYCCTATGTTCACTTTTTAATCAGGCTTTTTGTTGTTGATTTATAGGAGTTCTTTCCATTTTAAGAGTAGCAATCCCTTATCAAAGATGTGATTGCAAATTATTACTCCTAGTCTGTGGGTTTCCTTTTTACTCTGTTAAAGTGTCCTTTAGTTCTCTAAATCTTTTAATTTTCATGAAGTCCATCTTCTCTATTTTTTGTTTTTGTTGCTTATAATTTTATTATAATTACCAAGATCATTGTCAAACTCAGTGTCATGAAGGTTTCCTATTATTTTATGATTAAATGTTTCTTTATTTGCTGTATGCCCTAGGACAACTTTCAGAGACCATAAATGGTTATTTTTAAAACAATTTCGACCAGTTATGGCGAAAATTAGTTATGGAAGTTGTGAAAGTAGAATATCTCTTCATGATTTTTAAATCATTAATTAAAAGCTCACTCTGGCCAAATTATAACATCTTACATGGTTTTTTTAAATTGACCTATCAAATATTGAGACATGTTATAGAGAACCCTATGCATTGCACCTGAGTTTCATATAAGCACGTAGGCTCTTGGATCGCATGTTGGTGTCTGGCTAGGTGTACCTGCTGCCCAAGCATCATGAAGCTGTAGCATAAATTCCTCTTCTTTCCAGTAATCTGCATGTCATGGTTTACCTAATGATGAAAATGCTTCAAATGAATGGGCTCCCCTAATCCTTTGAAACAAGATATTCTTTTATAAACCTCCGCTGTTGTAGTGATACTGCTTCAATACAAAGGAGATTTCTGTCTTTAAATCTGATTCATCTAAAAAAATTGAATTTCAACTGTATCAAACACTGGAAGGATGTGCATTCAAAATGATCACCAACTTGGGTCATTTTCTCATGTTCCTATTAGAACAATTTTACCAATATTCAATATTTACAAATTAGTAAGTTGGTGAATGGAGAGCCAGGAAGGGAAAGGTTACCCTGGGGGTTCTCACAAAAGCAGGTTCTTTATGTTGCATATGCCTGCTGCTGTTGGCCCTCGGTACCAGTGGGCTCAGCATTTATGGTTTCAAGGAACTGCGGGTCAAAACCATTTTTTAAAAATTGCATCCATATTGAACATGCATGTACTTTTTTCTTGTTGTTATTCCCTAAATGATACAAATGACAACTATTTACAGAGTAAGCACATTGTCTTAGATGCTACAAGACATTTAGGGATGGTTTAAAGTACCAGGAAGCCATATGGGTTCTGTGCAAATACCATGCCATTTATATAAGAAACTGGACCGTCTGTAGATTTTAGTACCTTTAGGGGGTCCTGGAACCAACTCCTCATGATCCAAAGGGATGACTGGACAGTGTCTGGCATGAATTGCAGATTTTTTGAGAACATGATCTCTGTCTTTACCTCACGCCATTAGGCTGCGTCCTGCACTGCCTGTCTTATAGTAGAAGATTAATAAATACTTTAATAAGTGAATATTTAAGTAAAAAGAGGAAATAAAACTGAAATTAATCCAAACAGGTTGTCCTGTTTGGAGTAAGTTATGAAGTAGGAAATGACCCAAATCTCTAAATATATATTTGCTATCTAATGTATTCATTAGTGTTATTTGATAAGCATGAAAATCACATTTAGGGCCTGAGAGCTTGGCCTCTGCTGTGTTTAGTCTCTGTTATGTTGTCTGTTTTCTGCTGGACTTCACGGCCTCTGTGGAGAAAGTTGAGGATAAAACCCCAAATCTTCAGGTTATATTTTGTTTTCTGACAGTAAGAGGTAGGTTGGAGATAAAGCAGCTTCCTTTGTTCTCCTTGCTCATCTTATTTTATGTCTTGTGAGAGCTGAGCAGGTCAGCAGCCTTGAGCAGCAGGGCTGCCAGGAGTGAGGTGGCATGCAGGGAGAGAAACTGAGCGGCTAAGGACTGTGGGTCACTGCTTCACTCAATGCACAGCTTTCATCCGACTGCTCTTTTCTCTGCCAAGTTGAACTTTTGCAACAGACATGTTACTTGTGGTCTTTGGCATACAGTAGATTCTAAGAGAATTTTCTTTGTCATGAAATCTGAAAATGAATCCTTTATAAAACAAGGAATTTTTTTCCTAAAGTTAATAAATAATTATAGTACTATCTGTTGATTGGGTAAAAGTATTGAAATAAAGTAAAAATTATATTCACTGGTTCTGTACATATAAAACTATCTTTAATTTTATGCTACAAATTTCCACTGGTACTTTGCAATTTATTTTAAGTGGCTTGAACTTTTTTCTTTTCCAAATGGGTTTGTTTAGCCCAGATATCATCTTCATCATTGGCTTCATGTAGCAACTAATATTAAAGGAAAATCTTCAGTCTCACTGATCTTACTTCATTTTCTTTTTTTTATTTAAGTTAAATTTGAAAGACAAGTTTTGGACAAGAGGAACATCATTCT